GATCAGACGCTAGAAGGTATGGGGTCACCTGTCCAACCCCCCGATCAGATGTTAGAAGGTATCGGGTCACCTGCCCAACCCCCAATCAGATGCTAGTAGGTATTGGGTCACCTGCCCAACCCCCGATCAGACGCTAGAAGGAATGGGGTCACCTGCCCAACCCCCGATCAGACGCTAGAAGGTATGGGGTCACCTGCCCAACCCCTGACCAGACGCTAGAAGGTATGGGGTCACCTGTCCAACCCCCCGATCAGACATTAGAAGGTATCGGGTCACCTGCCCAACCCCCGATCAGACGCTAGAAGGTATCGGCTCACCTGTCCAACCCCCCGATCAGACGTTAGAAGGTATCGGGTCACCTGCCCAACCTCCAATCAGACGTTAGAAGGTATGGGGTCACCTGTCCGACCCCCGATCAGATGTTAAAAGGTATGGGGTCACCTGCCCAACCCCCAATCAGACGTTAGAAGGTATGGGGTCACCTGTTTAACCCCCCGATCAGACATTAGAAGGTATCGGGTCACCTGCCCAACCATGTGGGTTTTCTATGAGTACTGCAAGTTTCCTACTACATCCAGACCCCTGTGTACTCACATCCTGGCCATCAAGTTTCCTACCACAGTCAGACCCCTGTGTACTCACATCCTGGCCATCAAGTTTCCTACCACATTCAGACCCTGTTTTCTCACATCCTGGCCATCAAGTTTCCTACAACATTCAGACCCCTGTGTACTCACATCCTGGCCATCAAGTTTCCTACCACAGTCAGACCCATGTGTACTCACATCCTGGCCATCAAGTTTCCTACCACAGTCAGACCCCTGTGTACTCACATCCAGGCCATCAAGTTTCCTACCACAGTCAGACCCCTGTGTACTCACATCCAGGCCATCAAGTTTCCTACCACAGTCAGACCCCTGTGTACTCACATCCAGGCCATCAAGTTTCCTACCACAGTCAGACCCCTGTGTACTAACATCCTGGCCATCAAGTTTCCTACCACAGTCAGACCCCTGTGTACTCACATCCAGGCCATCAAGTTTCCTACCACAGTCAGACCCCTGTGTACTCACATCCAGGCCATCAAGTTTCCTACCACAGTCAGACCCCTGTGTACTCACATCCAGGCCATCAAGTTTCCTACCACAGTCAGACCCCTGTGTACTCACATCCAGGCCATCAAGTTTCCTACCACAGTCAGACCCCTGTGTACTCACATCCTGGCCATCAAGAGCGATTAATGTGCGATTAATGTAAGTTGTAACAAATTGTTTCATAACTGTTGTAAAATGAATGAAGTTTATTTTTGATATTATATTCACAGTTATGGTTATACATGGGTATTATGGGTGTGAAAATTGATAAATTCTCAAATTAGTTCCTGTCCAAATGTGTTCTGTGTCCCAGTTGTACATTACCTGAAACTGTTCTGGTTTATTTACTTACCTTGATTACCTGAAACCCTTGTTTTATTTACTCACCTTGACTACCTGAAACCCTTGTTTTATTTACTTACATTGATTACCTGAAACCGTTCTGTTTTATTTACTAACCTTGATTACCTGAAACCGTTCTGTTTTATTTACTTACCTTGATTACCTGAAACCTTTCTGTTTTATTAACTTACCTTGATTACCTGAAACTGTTCTGTTTTATTTACTTACCTTGACTACCTGAACCGTTCTGTTTTATTTACTTACCTTGATTACCTGAAACCGTTCTGTTTTATTTACTTACCTTGATTACCTGAAACTGTTCTGTTTTATTTACTTACCTTGATTACCTGAAACCGTTCTGTTTTATTTACTTACCTTGATTACCTGAAACCGTTCTGTTTTATTTACTTACCTTGATTACCTGAACCGTTCTGTTTTATTTACTTACCTTGACTCTGCTGACACAGCCACCACATGCGGTTTCTTAGTGGCAATAAAATCTTTGATTTTTTCCAGATCTTGTGCCTGTCAATCAAATTACGCGTGCTTTTAAATGAAAATCAAATTCTTTTCATCATCTTAACTTCACAAATAATGTTTTTTCTAAAGAGTTGACTTGAGTCTGAGTTAACATATATTGATTGTACTTTCGATGAAATGTTCTTTTTTTGTTTTAATTCAAACTGTATTTTACACACTGAAAATAGCCTCAATCTACAATTAATTTGTTGTATTTCAGTTATTGCATTTAACCTTACAATTTCTCACAACAAATTTCCCATCCTTTCAGTAAATCACATCACATTAATTTTCTCACATTATGCCAGACATATTACCTTGCCATCCTTGTCCACTTGTCTCCAAGCATTGCGTCGCTTCGTCAGGTATGGCATTCGAATGAAGTCTGTAACCTGGCCTTCTCCATCAATCAGAGCACCAAAACCAGGTGTGTCTCTGTTGTAACACAAACATGTAGCTATGATTTAATAATACCTAGAATTTTGTTTTTGTGAACAAAAACATATGTCTTCCCTTATTAGCCACTAGACAAACTTTGGTATAAAAAATTAACAAAGGGCAACATCTCTTTTTATAGTGGGGCATGAGACCCGAATTTAGAATGCGACACTCCTACTTCCCAAGATACATTAAAACTATAGCAAGTTTGGTCAACGTAGGTGAGAAATTCTGCCTTCCCAAGATAAATAAATATGGTAAGTTTGGTCAACATAAGTGAAATAACATGGAAGTTATGCCGTGGACAAACTTCGGTATTAAAAATAAACAAAGGGTCATAACTCTGTATATAGTGGGGCATAAAACCTGATTGAAGTGCAAGAAATTCTGCCTTCCCAAGATACATAAATATGGTAAGTTTGGTCAACGTAGGTAAAATAACATGGAAGTAATGCTCCAGACAAACTTGGCCACAACTCTGTATTGAGTGAAGCACGGAAGCTAATTCCAGTGCACTGCACACCTTCTGTGGATGATGCAGGTATACTTTAAGTTTGATCGAGATATCTTTAACGGTTTAAAATTTACAAGCCGGACAAGAATTTACTGAAAATGTTGTACTTATTTGACATTTGACCTAGAGGTGAAGGTCACAGTGACCTAATTCCAGTGCACTGCACACCATCTGTGGGTGACGCATGCATACCTAAAGTTTCATCAAGATATCTTTAACGGTTTAAAAGTTATGGCCAGGACAAGTCAGATTAGAAGAACCAGAAGAAGAAGAAGAAGAGGAACCAGAAGATGAACCAGTACTAATACAATATGTCTCCCTTCATTCGAAGGGGAGACATAATAGAATACAACATTTGATATAGTGCCCTATCTAGTTAGAATTAGCCACTCTTAAGCGCTTTACAGTGCATAGATATACAATCTATACAATCAATACAATTAACATATACATTAATCAATACAGTTTTGAGGAATTCCCAGGAGCTGCCTTATCCAGGGCTAACTTCTAGTCCTATGCCACCTGGCTAATACCTCCCTATGTGTGTATGCCTGCATGTGTGCTGCAGATGTATTGTGTTCTGTTTGTAGTGGGACCGTGCTTCCAATGGTATCATTTATAGTGCCACCTCACTTGAATGCTACAGCACAGATACCGCAACATCCACCCCAGACCAACTTATACTCCACCTGGGTTGGAAGGCCAGAGTGTTAACCACTCCACCAATCAATACGGGCTGAATAGTGGGACTATCAGATTAGTGATGGTTGGAGTAACAATGGCCAACTTTACACAAGCAAAATACTTTTTTACAAACTCAGTTAATTTGTCATTTTTTTCATCTTCAGGCGATACAATAATGTTTTGAGGTCCTACTCTATTGGATCGATCAGTATCCCAAACACAAGTGATAAATCAAGAACAAACCTCGCGGTGATGAAGGAGAGACCTAAGACACGAAGAACTTCCTTCTCATCGTCATCGTAGTCGTCCTCAAGTTGTTGATCCGCCTGGTAGGGTGCTACTTTTAGCCAGTTGTATAACTTACGACAGCAAGCCTGTTACAAAGAAGAAAATCATTATGGCTAAACTTATCAATGTTCTGTATCAAATATATTTACATATTTACTAGTACAGTACTTAATGTGACAGAAATAGAATGGATCATTACAATATGAGAAAGATCTGTTAGTTCTTCCGTTAGCCATTTTGTTTATGATTAGTCTCACAATTTAACATGCACAACGAGGGATCAAGGGGGCCTATATATCAAATTTGAGAAAGATCCCTCAAGTTATTTCCGGAGAAATAGGACTAACAAACCTTCAATATCAAAAATTGAAGATGGCTGTCGGTCGGCCATTTTGTTTATCTGATCAGTGTCAAAAGTAAACATGAACAATAAAGGATAGTGGGGAACCTCCATATAGAATTTGAGAAAGAACGCTCCAGTACTTCATGGGAAATTGCACTAAGAAACTTTAACTGTCAAAATCAAAGATTTGTTTATTCGATCAGTCTCATAAGAAAATATGCATAACTTCATAACAAAGGGAACCTACATGCAAAATTTAAGAAAGATCTCTCCAGTTCTTCCTGAATAATAGCCACAACAAACGTTCACTGTTTAAATCCAAGATGGTGGCCTGTCGGCCATAATCTATTTCCATTCAGTCTCAAAATTAAACATGCACAACTACAGACCAAGGGGAACCTACATATATAATTTAAAATGGATCTCTCCAGTACTTCCTGAGAAATAGCTATAACAAACCTTTACTGTCAAAATCCAAGATGGCTGCCTGTCGGCCATGTTGTTTATCCGATCAGTCTCATAAATTGCCTTGCACAACTAGGGACCAAGAGGAACCTACATATAAAATTTGAGATCCCTCTGGTACTTCCTGAGAAATAGCGATAATATGAATTGTTTAAGGACGGACGACGACACAGGGCGATTTGAATAGCGCACCATCAGATGATCGTGGGCTAAAAATACTGAAATCTTAACAGGAGTTGTGGTAAATTCCAGCCCCAAATATATAGACAGGAAAACCCTGACTCCTGCTGTAAAAATCATTAACTGACTAAAACTGATTAATACGATGTAACAGGGATCTGTCAAACCTACTTTGAGTATTCCTTCCTTTGCTTCAGCAATGAGCTTGGCTCTGAGCTCCTTCTCCATCTGAGGGTAAAGGAGCTTAGTGAGGGCTCGCTCCAGAGCTTGGCTCCTCTGAAGATTCCACTGTTGTACCAGGTGACTAAATTCATCCTGAAAAAGCAATTGAAAAATTTTAAATTACAATAAGTGTTCAATTTAACAAGATTACTCAAATATTATGATAAACAAGGTGGTTTCACTGCACACCATAAACACTGCTGTATTTATCCTGCGATAAGTTCAGGGAGCCAACATGTGTTGAAGGAAGGTTTCATTATATCAACACTTAATGATGACAAAAGATGATTGACCTTGTTGCATCATGACCTTGATTTTTGAAGGTGATCTGATGACCTTGAGGGAGACGCAAGGACTTATAAAGCTATTGAATTTATCATTTTTATCAAATTAAAGCAAATATAAAAGAGACAAATCAACATCAGGTTTAAATTAACCCCCTCCAAAGCCATGCACAGGTTTTGTTCAACTTTGTCCAGTCATATTTGTGGAAAGTGTTGACCAGTCAGAGAGTAGTATGCAAAATAATTTTGCACAGATTTTAATCAACTTCAAACATTGCCTGTCTTTTTATATTGTACATGCATACCAAGTTTCATCAAATTCAAATAAAAATTTAACCAAGTTGTCCTGCGAAAACCAAAGTGTGTAGAGATGGACAGATAGACAAAGACTCTCCATCCCATAATGATATACGGTTACGATTGCTTACTTACCCTGTAGAACAGTTGGCGAACTTCCTCAAAGTAGGTCTGGGAACCCTCTGCCATATCATCAATAAAAATTGTGATAGTCAGGAGTCCGTCCTCTTCTCCCTGTCGAATGAGAACACCTGTTTTACTAAATCAGCATTCATAATGACATGGTACACGAAAAACACATTGCAGCAACACTATATCAGTACGGACACTTGTATTGTTCTTACAAGGCAAACAACTACCTGGGTACTCCTGTTTACTTCAAACAAGAATAGGAAATTGAACAAAGACATGTTTAGTATACTGTAAAAAATAATCACTATTTGCCCAGTGTTAATTTCGCCTTCACATTTCATCACTATGTATATAGTGTTGTTTACTAATGTACACAGTAATGATAACTTCACCCTCATTACAGTGAGTGAAAATTGGAAGTATGAAAGTCCCATGATTTTTGAAAATGTATTTCGTTGCTTAGCACCTGTGACAATACTTGTTTCTAAGTCAAAAAATGCAAAAATTTAACTGCAGCAAAACATTTTCAGTAAACAGTATGTTTTAATTAATCTATTCGAGGATTTTTCCAAGTCTATATGCACAAATTTACAAAACTGGCAGCATTTACCAAAACAGAATTCCTTCAAAATTATATGGAAGTATTAAAGTGACTTTTGAAAATTTATTTCATTTCTTAACACCTGCTACATCACTTGTTTCTATGGACAACCAGTTACTGGTAATATTTTTCTGAACTAAAATGGTCTCTAACAATTCTATTTCATGCAAATTATCCAGATTTTTTGAAACCTCAAAGAAATTTTCCATGAAATATTCTGCAAAACCTTATCTGAATCCCATAAGGAATAAACGTTTCCGGGTCAGTGACACATAGGGAGGAACACACAGAGCCCATACCTGAGAGAGCTTGATGAACATTTCATCCTTTAGGTCCTTGACGGGTTTGTTCTTGAGGTACTTCATGGCATAACAAGGATGGGCCTCGTCGATCTCCTAATGTAAAACAGATCAAGACCTTGATACTGCAATCAAACCTTTTTTCAATGTCCTTAACCCTTTCACCCCTATGTAACTTTAGTAGACATTACCATGCATTGATTTGGATGAGTCCATTTTGGTCTACAGTGGTGAAAGTGTAAATGTGGTTACACACACAATTTTGATGAGATGGTCCATTACATAGTACTTCCCTGCAAATGTTAAAGTCCATTTTCACAGCTACCTCTACTGTTTCATATGAAAATTGAAATTAGGAATTTATTGGAATTTTTACACTGACACATTGTAAGACTTATCTTAAGTAGAAATAACAGCCTAAAAATCCTAAAATAAAAGAAATATATTTTTTGTATCAGGCAATAGGATAGGTAAAAAAACAAGGGTCAGGGAGAGGAATCCAGCTAGTAGCTAGCCCTCTAAAATAGTCAACAATGATTGTATAGGCCATGCTGTTTGTTATCATCAAACAGATCTGTGACAGTCAAACTCAGCTACACAATGATCATAATAATAGGATAATATTCCTGTCAAATCTGTGTCCTATGCAGGCTTTGTAAACAAAACAAACAGTAAGAAAGAAGTTACCTTGATGCCTTTCTTAGATGGGACAACATTGATTTTTGCACGTTCAAAATATGTTTGTCGAACACACTGTCGCACAAGGGGATCATGGCAAATTTGCATGGCGACCATATGGCGTGCACCAAGCAACACTTCCTCATCTGTTGGGAACTGACTGGAACAAGAGCAAAAGAAGTTGGGAAAATATCAAAATTGATCGAGAACTCTTGACAGGTTTATGGTGAAAAAACTTAATTCTAGAATTCATTATACAGGAGAGACGGCAGACAAAAGGTTTGGAAACAAATATATTTGTGTTGAAATGATGATAGAAACACATTTATAATTCATACAATTAAAAAAAACAAGTAAATGAAAAAAACAAAAATCATACAGTGAATTTGATATATAAAAAAGAAGTGGAATCATCTGAAAAGTTTGAAGATATACATTCACCAACCTGCAAACCAACTCCTTGGCGACCTCGAGGGGCTCCAGCGGGTACTGTTCTACATCATGACGCTGGTAGTTGTCACGAAGATTCTCGCCAAACTGCTCAGGAGACAAACCAAATTTCTGGGCAATGTCATCTGTAGATCAAACACAATATGCTTTCTGGTATAGGTAGACTCACTTTTTGGCAGTTACTTAATGAATATTCATTTATGATACTCAATGAATATTCATTTATGATACTCAATGAATATTCATTTATGATACTCAATGAATATTCATTTATGATACTCAATGAATATTCATTTATGATACTCAATGAATATTCATTTATGATACTCAATGAATATTCATTTATGATACTCAATGAATATTCATTTATGATACTCAATGAATATTCATTTATGATACTCAATGAATATTCATTTATGATACTCAATGAATATTCATTTATGATACTCAATGAATATTCATTTATGATACTCAATGAATATTCATTTATGATACTCAATGAATATTCATTTATGATACTCAATGAATATTCATTTATGATACTCAATGAATATTAATACATTATCTATAAACAATTAAATCTAACAAAAGATGGATTTGAAATAATCTATCAACGACCCATAAATGTGCACAATAAGTCAACAAAAATAATGAATGAGAAAAATAAATGCTGTTTACTTTTTAATAGTAATAAGTAGACTTATTTTCAAACCAGAATTTAATTCAGTGGCTAGAGTTTTCCTGTAAAGACTCCACAAATAAAATAGAATATGACTTGTGAAATTCTGTTAAATATCAAATGATTGATTTCCAGAAGTCCTTGAGATCAGTACCATAGACAGTCTTTATTCTTTTAACATGATTCTGATTATACAAATTTTGTGATTTTTATGAATATTTAATTTTTGCGTTTATGCTATAAAAGACATATATAGCAACAGTCATTCATAACCATACAGTAAACATTGTGATATATTTTACCATGTTCCTTGTAACTTTGTGATAAGATATTTATTCTATAACGAACATATTCATGATAATTGATCATGAAATGACCATAACAGGTTTGTGTCTTAATTTATCATCTATATATTACTTTATACCATCTACAGGTAGCATCATGGGTTGTCAGTATGAGAATACTCAAAAAGATGTTAAGAACGACTTGAAAAGAACTTGGGAACGTATTTCCTCAAAAGATAACGTCTGCTCTGACTTTTTTAAATCTAGAAGTATATAAGGTAGTAGTGTATAGATGATTAACAGTTTATAACACAGTATTTTCAGTGTTTGTCGTTGGAACAATTTTCTCATAACTTGCAAATGGATAAAATCTCGAGTCCACCTGCAGTGTTCTCGTGATGAGAAAATTGTTCTCCAACCAACCCTGACAACTCAGAATGATAACCTAGAATTCCAACATTTACAGCCTTCTCCAACCAACCCTGACAACACAGAATGATAATCTAGAATTCCAACATTAACAGCCTTCTCCAACAACCCCTGACAACACAGAATGATAACCTAGAACTCCAACATTTATAGCCTTCTCCAACCAACCCTGACAACACAGAATGATAACCTATAACTCCAACATTTACAGCCTTCTCCAACCAACCCTGACGACAGAGAATGATAACCTAGAATTCCAACATTTACAGCCTTCTCCAACCAACCCTGCCAACACAGAATGATAACCTAGAATTCCAACATTAACATCCTTCTCCAACAAACCCTGACAACAGAGAATGATAACCTAGAATTCCAACATTTACAGCCTTCTCCAACCAACCCTGACGACAGAGAATGATAACCTAGAATTCCAACATTAACATCCTTCTCCAACAAACCCTGACAACAGAGAATGATAACCTAGAATTCCAACATTTACAGCCTTCTCCAACCAACCCTGCCAACACAGAATGATAACCTAGAACTCCAACATTTATAGCCTTCTCCAACCAACCCTGACAACACAGAATGATAATCTAGAATTCCAACATTAACAGCCTTCTCCAACAACCCCTGACAACACAGAATGATAACCTAGAACTCCAACATTAACAGCCTTCTCCAACAAACCCTGACAACACGGAATGATAACCTAGAACTCCAACATTTACAGTTTTCTCCAACCAACCCTGACAACACAGAATGATAACCTAGACCTCCAACATTTACAGCCTTCTCCAACCAACCCTGAAAACACAGAATGATAACCTAGAATTCCAACATTTACAGCCTTCTCCACCCAACCCTGACAACACAGAATGATAACCTAGACCTCCAACATTTACAGCCTTCTCCAACCAACCCTGCCAACACAGAATGATAACCTAGAATTCCAACATTAACAGCCTTCTCCAACAACCCCTGACAACACAGAATGATAACCTAGAACTCCAACATTTATAGCCTTCTCCAACCAACCCTGACAACACAGAATGATAATCTAGAATTCCAACATTAACAGCCTTCTCCAACAACCCCTGACAACACAGAATGATAACCTAGAACTCCAACATCCTGCAGTGTTCTCGTGATGAGAAAATTGTTCTCCAACCAGCCCTGACAACTCAGAATGATAACCTAGAATTCCAACATTTACAGCCTTCTCCACCCAACCCTGACAACACAGAATGATAACCTAGACCTCCAACATTTACAGCCTTCTCCAACCAACCCTGAAAACACAGAATGATAACCTAGAATTCCAACATTTACAGCCTTCTCCACCCAACCCTGACAACACAGAATGATAACCTAGACCTCCAACATTTACAGCCTTCTCCAACCAACCCTGACGACAGAGAATGATAACCTAGAATTCCAACATTTACAGCCTTCTCCAACCAACCCTGACAACTCAGAATGATAACCTAGAACTCCAACATTTACAGCCTTCTCCAACCAACCCTGAAAACACAGAATGATAACCTAGAATTCCAACATTAACAGCCTTCTCCAACAAACCCTGACAACACGGAATGATAACCTAGAACTCCAACATTTACAGTTTTCTCCAACCAACCCTGACAACACAGAATGATAACCTATAACTCCAACATTTACAGCCTTCTCCAACCAACCCTGACGACAGAGAATGATAACCTAGAATTCCAACATTAACAGCCTTCTCCAACAACCCCTGACAACACAGAATGATAACCTAGAACTCCACCATTTACAGCCTTCTCCAACCAACCCTGACAACAGAGAATGATAACCTAGAATTACAACATTAACAGCCTTCTCCAACAAACCCTGACAACACGGAATGATAACCTAGAACTCCAACATTTACAGCCTTCTCCAACCAACCCTGACAACAGAGAATGATAACCTAGAATTCCAACATTTACAGCCTTCTCCAACCAACCCTGACAACACAGAATGATAACCTAGAACTCCAACATTTACAGCCTTCTCCAACCAACCCTGACAACACAGAATGATAACCTAGAACTCCAACATTTACAGCCTTCTCCAACCAACCCTGACAACACAGAATGATAACCTAGAACTCCAACATTTACAGCCTTCTCCAACCAACCCTGACAACACAGAATGATAACCTAGAACTCCAACATTTACAGCCTTCTCCAACCAACCCTGACAACACAGAATGATAACCTAGAACTCCAACATTTACAGCCTTCTCCAACCAACCCTGACAACACAGAATGATAACCTAGAACTCCAACATTTACAGCCTTCTCCAACCAACCCTGACAACACAGAATGATAACCTAGAACTCCAACATTTACAGCCTTCTCCAACCAACCCTGACAACACAGAATGATAACCTAGAACTCCAACATTTACAGCCTTCTCCAACCAACCCTGACAACACAGAATGATAACCTAGAACTCCAACATTTACAGCCTTCTCCAACCAACCCTGACAACACAGAATGATAACCTAGAACTCCAACATTTACAGCCTTCTCCAACCAACCCTGACAACACAGAATGATAACCTAGAACTCCAACATTTACAGCCTTCTCCAACCAACCCTGACAACACAGAATGATAACCTAGAACTCCAACATTTACAGCCTTCTCCAACCAACCCTGACAACACAGAATGATAACCTAGAACTCCAACATTTACAGCCTTCTCCAACCAACCCTGACAACACAGAATGATAACCTAGAACTCCAACATTTACAGCCTTCTCCAACCAACCCTGACAACACAGAATGATAACCTAGAACTCCAACATTTACAGCCTTCTCCAACCAACCCTGACAACACAGAATGATAACCTAGAACTCCAACATTTACAGCCTTCTCCAACCAACCCTGACAACACAGAATGATAACCTAGAACTCCAACATTTACAGCCTTCTCCAACCAACCCTGACAACACAGAATGATAACCTAGAACTCCAACATTTACAGCCTTCTCCAACCAACCCTGACAACACAGAATGATAACCTAGAACTCCAACATTTACAGCCTTCTCCAACCAACCCTGACAACACAGAATGATAACCTAGAACTCCAACATTTACAGCCTTCTCCAACCAACCCTGACAACACAGAATGATAACCTAGAACTCCAACATTTACAGCCTTCTCCAACCAACCCTGACAACACAGAATGATAACCTAGAACTCCAACATTTACAGCCTTCTCCAACCAACCCTGACAACACAGAATGATAACCTAGAACTCCAACATTTACAGCCTTCTCCAACCAACCCTGACAACACAGAATGATAACCTAGAACTCCAACATTTACAGCCTTCTCCAACCAACCCTGACAACACAGAATGATAACCTAGAACTCCAACATTTACAGCCTTCTCCAACCAACCCTGACAACACAGAATGATAACCTAGAACTCCAACATTTACAGCCTTCTCCAACCAACCCTGACAACACAGAATGATAACCTAGAACTCCAACATTTACAGCCTTCTCCAACCAACCCTGACAACACAGAATGATAACCTAGAACTCCAACATTTACAGCCTTCTCCAACCAACCCTGACAACACAGAATGATAACCTAGAACTCCAACATTTACAGCCTTCTCCAACCAACCCTGACAACACAGAATGATAACCTAGAACTCCAACATTTACAGCCTTCTCCAACCAACCCTGACAACACAGAATGATAACCTAGAACTCCAACATTTACAGCCTTCTCCAACCAACCCTGACAACACAGAATGATAACCTAGAACTCCAACATTTACAGCCTTCTCCAACCAACCCTGACAACACAGAATGATAACCTAGAACTCCAACATTTACAGCCTTCTCCAACCAACCCTGACAACACAGAATGATAACCTAGAACTCCAACATTAACAGCCTTCTCCAACCAACCCTGACAACACAGAATGATAACCTAGAATTCCAACATTTACAGCCTTCTCCAACCAACCCTGACAACACAGAATGATAACCTAGATCTCCAACATTTACAGCCTTTGTGAAGTTACCTTTATCGAAAAGTTATTGATTTACAGAAAGCACTTAATCCTGTTATCAAAGAATACCTAGTTTGTTTTGTTGGCAGATGGTATAGCCACTTTTACGCGAGGCCTGCTTTATCATTTCCTGTTGCTCGGGGGGATCTTCATTTTCAGGGTGTTCACTGTTCTCTTCATTACGAGCTTTTGTTTTCTCTGCGTTCCTCATCTTCGGGATGTCAGGTCCGTAATACAAAACGAAGTGCTGATAGACGTCCCTCAGCTCCTCAATGGTTTGAACTTGTTTGATCCTACAAACACAGAAACAGTCCATTCAACAATATTGTAAGAATTTCAGAAATTGAATATAACTGAAGTGTAATAATCATTTTTGTATAAATTTGCATTAAACATCAACCTTGTGAACATGTCTCCCCTTATTAGCCATTAAAAAAACTTTGGTATAAAAAATGAACAAGGGGCTATATCTCTTTATAAAGTGGGCCACGAGACCCGAATTTAGAATGCGACACTCCTACTCCCCAACATACATTAAAACTATAGCAAGTTTGGTCAATGAAATAACATGGGAGTTATGCCATGGACAAACTTCGGTATTAACATAAACAAAGGGCCATATCTCTGTATATAGTGGGGCACTAAACCTGATTTTATTGCAAGAGATTCCACCTTCCCAAGATACATAAATATGGTAAGTTTGGTCAACATAGGTGAAATAACATGGAACTTATGCTCCGGACAAACTTCGGTATTGAAAATAAACAAAGGATCATAACTCTGTATATAGTGGGGCACGATACCTAGTTCCAGTGCACTGTACACCTTCTGTGGGTGATGCAGGTATACTTCAAATTTGATTAAGATATCTTGTTTAGAAGTTATGCTGTGGACAAACTTCGGTATTCAAATTTAAAAAGGGCCATAACTCTGTATATAGTGAAGCTTGAGACCTTAACCTAGTGCACTGCACACCTTCTGTGGATGATGGAGGTATACTTCAAGTTTGATCAAGATATCTTTAACGGTTCAAAATTAAACGGCCGGACAGGAGTTTACTGAAAATGTTGTACTTATTTGACCTTGAGGTGAAGGTTAGTGACCTAATTTCAGTGCACTGCACACCTTCTGAGGGGGATGCATGTATATCTCAAGTTTCATCAAGATATCTTTAACGGTTAAAAGTTATGGCCCGGACAAGTTGCGATTAAAAGAACCAGAAGAAGAACCAGTACTAATACAATATGTCTCCCTTCATTCGAAGGGGAGACATAATTAAGCATCAAGCAAACAATATTGTAATGTCTTTTTCCCCCCAATATTCACAATTTTTCACAGATTTGCTAAAACTGGCCATATGGCACAAATATTAAGGTAAGGATGTATGGATTTGCTATTTATTTAGCGGGTTGTATTTTATTAAAACCCCTCAAAATAACATGTACAGTAATTTATTTATTACATATGCTGTGACCGACTTCATCATTTGCTTCATAAAGAGCCGACTAAATGCAGAGTTGGTTTTGAATTGGTTAACAACACATTATCTACTAAATTTGAATTAGGATTCTGATATTACTGAACTATGTTCGTACCATTTGTACATATCGAAATGGCAGAGCTTGATATAGGCTTCATATATTTACAACTCTCCTTTGACATCAGAACAACATATCAAGTGCTATATTATGCATAATATCCATCATAATGATCATTTTACCTCTAGCTGTCACAACGGTATCATATGTAACACATAAACTGAGTATTACCAGTCATGAATCGATAGGAATTATGAGTAACCTCCCGTTTAATGATCAGCACTTGTACAGTTTTCTACAGCTAGATAATAAAATGTATCTGTTCATTTCTTTATAGGCAATTTCTTTATTACACAGCTAAACAGAAGTGTGGTGTTTTTGGCTATTCACTGATATCTTACATGCTGAAAATAACTTAATTTTTTGTCAGAGATTCATTTTGGCATTCATGTTGAAGGAGACTTATTTGCCAAATTAAATCTTCAGTGAATATTTCTTCAGTATATAACCTCTATCCGTATAAAGCATGCTCTTAATTGTGGATTAAAGTACTTGCAAAAAAATTGTACAGACATATTGCAAAAAAATAAAGTGTGCACAAAAATTAAGTGATTTACAGGAAATACTACCCCACCTGTCTATATCTTCCTCCGTCAGGGCTCTCACGTTAGACTCCAAGACCTTTTCTGGGTCAGCGTTCTCCTCAAACTGGTAATTCTGCATCTTCTCAAATAGACGGACCATGTTGGTCTTCCTGGTCCTAAGTTGTGTCCACTGAATAAATCAACATGTCATGTTCTGTAAGTATTTTTTTCTTTTTAATTTTGGGAATGGAACCAGGGGCTTTAGAACTGGCAAGAAAACACCCAAATTGTAAATTTGATTCAATCCTAAAAGATTGTTTTCTGTCTAAAAATAGTTTAAATGACTAGAAATCTTTTGTTTACAAAAAGTTACCGGTATTCACACTTTAATGATTATAATTATATCATCATTTTTTTTTTAATATTCATTTATTTACATCATTTTAATTCAGTTACTCTAAACATGAGAAAAATACACTATTTCCTATGAGAACTATGAGAAAATGGTTGGAGTCAAGTTCTTGGATGATTTTTGGATGAAAATGATTATGTCGAGATGTAGCAACAAGCTTTTAATTCAAATTGAAATGGTAAAATTCTGTCATACACATAATTTTATGCCTCCCTCGATATGGGGAGGTAATTTGCTGTTGAGAAGTCGAATAGTTTAAACACCCTATAACATGCCTCACATTTCCCAGAGATCAGAAAGGTAACTATTTCAAAAATATTCTAAAATGTACTGATAACTAGAAAACAATGCACACCATCTTTACCTTTTCATCAAACTGCCAGATTTTCCACAAGTCATTGATGTTGAGATCAGACTCTACATACTCTTTTCGATAGAAGGCAATGAAGGGCACCTGTAAATCATTACAGTACAGTTTATAACAAAACAAAATCATCCTAAATGTGACACATAAATAAGAGTATATCAATAACAGTATAGTATAAAATACAAAAGCCTAAATTTGAAAAAAAATAAAAATTGCCAGGGTTGTATTTGTTAATGTGTATGTAACCAGTTTAGCCTGATATAACTTCGGTGATAACTCACCATGTCTTATCAGATTTGTACAACTGTATATCCGTGGTTTAACTTTCACAAATATCTGTTTTACTGCCAACATGGAACTGTGACAGTAACACTGCCAACATATGTACCACAACCCAGAACATGCATAAGGGTTGTTCCTCCTCTGATTCCGATACATTTGGACGTACAAAATTCTACAATCAATAAATGTATGCCAATTTGATGTAATCTCAGTCTATTGTGATATCGCATCCGATAAATTCAGAGTCAATCATGTATCATATATTTTTGATTAACTATTTACAAGCGATAAGAATTTAGATATAGTATCAGTTGACCGGTGTAGACTGTTTCAGGCCTTTAATGCCAAAAATAGCCAAAACCCATTCTAAAGTTTATCAAAACCCATTCTAAAGTTTATCAAAACCCATTCTTAAGTTTATCAGACAACAAGACTTGTAGCTTTTTCTTTGACAGTTTTAACACATGTGAGTGTAGATATCTACAAAGGGGATAAGATTACAAGCTAAATCTTGGCCCTTAACTTCAATTGTTGTTGGGCTGTAGAACAAAACAAGACAATAACAGACACACGCTATATCAACTGTGATAGTTGTCCCCTAAGTACAATCAAACAATGGTGGGTTATTCCTTTCCTTTTTTTTTGGACAACGAAACACAGACAAATCGAGTTAACAAGAAAACAGAAGTCATTGATATTCTACAATTTATGACAAAATTGAATGATGATAGTTTTTAAATATGTAGGCAATTTTTAACACAATGCATATCAGGAAATTATTGTTGTGGTCAAAATTTCTTCAAAATGAAACTTTTTAATTTTTCTGCTTTCTGAAATGTTATGCAGACAATTTTGATTCTGTCCAGATGAAATTTACAATTTTGATTTTCATCTCACAAATAAATTCTCAATGTGCCGTAAAATGGCCAAAGTCAGTGTGTTGTACTGTGGGGTACCTCGAGGTGCTGGTCCCTCATGAAGTTGATAGCTTCCCTGATTTTGTTGACCATGCTGGGTGGGCGTCGGCCAAAGTTTCCATGACTTTCCTGTTCCAATAGATTCTGAAACACACATCGAAGAATTAAGGTTTTCATAGTCAGCATAAGAAAAAATAACAATGCTAACTATTTCAAGCAATCCATAGATCTCGATCTCTGAACAGACTTTACTCCATCTGAGGCAATTATGTAGGTGTCCTCAGGGTTACACTCTCTTACCCTCTCTGCACCCCCAGAATATGTAATCAAAGGCTCTATACTTGCCAGCTTGCATCCTCAATACTCCTGGGGTTACTCTCACTTTTGCTCTTTGCACCCCTGGAATATGTCTTAGCAAAATTGAAGGCTCAGTGTGTACCACCTTGTTGATGAGACAAGACTACTAGTTCGATCCTTTGATGTACATCAAAAGAATCTCGCAGTCATGTAACGGTAAAAATTGAAATCTTCAAAGAACAGGCATCAGCCTAGCCATTGGTCAGGTGTTTTTTACCCGAGACCAATCAAACAGCTATCTTCCTACCTTTAATTTTGCTTTGAAATATTCTAGGGGTGCAGAGAGCGAGAGTGAGCGTAACCCTTGGAGAATCATGGATGGCCACTTTGTGGATGATACTTGTGCACTAGTTTGATCCTTTGATGTAGAGCATTATAGCAGTAAAATCGACTGGCTTCAAAGTCAAGTGTTTCTCCTCTGTAATTCTCTCAGGACAGGTATCAACCTAATTCTCTCAGGACAGGTAGCAACCTAATTCTCTCAGGACATGTATCAACATAATTCTCTCAGGACAGGTAGCAACCTAATTCTCTCAGGACAGGTAGCAACCTAATTCTCTCTCAGGACAGGTTGCAACCTAATTCTCTCAGGACAGGTAGCAACCTAATTCTCTCAGGACATGTATCAACATAATTCTCTCAGGACAGGTAGCAACCTAATTCTCTCAGGACAGGTATCAACCTAATTCTCTCAGGACAGGTATCAACCTAATTCTCTCAGGACAGGTATCAACCTAATTCTTTCAGGAGAGGTAGCAACCTAATTCTCTCAGGACAGGTATCAATCTAATGACTGGTTATTTTTTTTACCTGACATCAATCTAATTGCTGATTGTGTGCCTTCGATTTTTTCATGACAAATTCCAGTGGTGCAGAGAGCATGAGTGAACATAAACCCCTGGATTTGAAGAATGATATAAAGGTGAAATCTTATAAACTGTAGGAAAGGGATGGGTCCGAAAGAGCAAGGGTGTAGGAAAACCTTACCTGTTGAGACATAGTGGGGGTGGTAAAGGCCTGCTTATATATCCACTCAGCTTCCTCCTCTAATTCTCCGTCCTCCAGGGGACGTACAGCGATCTGGCGTAACTGGAATCGTTCTGGCATGTCCTTAGTTCGTATTTCCTGATCTTTGTCGGTGAAGAATCCACGCTCCAATTCTGTTGGCTCATACACCTGTAGGCAATCAAAATTGTTCCATAAAAATAAAAAGTCTCATATATAGATTTATGTTAACCAAAACTCTTTATGATATTTTTCCCAAATAAAACAAAAAATAACAAATAACGAAAAAAATCTATGACATTTTCCCCCAAAATAAATATACATCTCAAACAACTTTCTCAGTTGATGAAAAGTTTCCATGTTTTAAATTTTAATGATATTAACAAAGTAATGATAAATGTATGATTTATTGCCTACATCAAAAATGCCCTTCTTCTTTCCCTTCTTCCGTCCAACTTTTTTCGTCCTTGGGCGAGCGACTCCATCTTCTCCCTCCTCTTCCATGTACTATAAGGAAAAAATATATTTTAAGATATATTTTCATGGTATATCCAAAAGCAACAAAAAATGCATAATTTACCTGGAAAACTTTAACGTTGGATTTTATTTTTTACTTTTTGAGAAATAACATTTAACATTTCAGAAATATAATGATTACCGGTACAAAAGTAAAAATTTCAAAATAATAATAAAAAAAACCCAGTTCAGTAGTTTCTGTATTTTCAAATCTCATTATGGATCCAAGCCTCACACAACTTTAAAGTTATACTTAAGATTTGTCCCTTTTTTCTTCTACCTCATCTTCTTCAAACTCTTCTTCTTCCTCCTCCTCTCCTTCAGCATACTCGTCGAATTCCTCAAAATCAAAATCGACCCCAAAAATATCCTGTGCTTCTTGTAGAGCTCTGTGAATTTCAAAACAGATTAAATTACAATTAAATGGATCTTTTAGTAGTATTTAAAAAAGGATCTCAATTAATCTGAATGCAAAATCTTTGAAATTAATATCTGTTATTATCAAGAAATAGACGTAACCAGAAATATTTTTGTGACAAAAGTACCTACTGTGAAAAATTACAAGTGCAATTTAAAATAAAATGCTCTTAGGCCAAAAAATAAAGATTACTTGGTTCTCAGGCCTGCGCGCATTTCATGGCACCGTGCGCATTGTCGATTTTATCGTGAAAGTAATAAAAAAAAAATTGTGAATGCGCCAGCCGCCATCTTTAAAAAAAATCCGGAAAATTGGTCCGCATGTCGTTTTTACTCGTTAGTCACCTAAGTCCCGAAAACGTTTGAATAAAGGTAAGGATTGAAATACAGGCAAGCGTTAAAATGATTATGACTTATTAGTCTTGTGTACAAATGGCGCTCATTTCGGTACAAATAAGGAATGGGGGGGGGTTCGTGATTCTCGTCTGGAACATCGTGGGGGGATTTTCGGAGGTTTGCCCTATGACAGGTCTCTACACAACTATGAAAAGACAAGGTAATGTCCACAATGAACTACACAATAAAAAAAAAAGTCGCCCTCGTCTCGTTTTTGCCATGTAAAATGAGAAAAAAAATGCCGCCCTGCCGCATCTATTTTGAAAAAAACTGGCCTGAGAACCAAGTAATTAATTTTATTTGGCCTTACGACAATGGCACCTGACCTTGGATGCATATCTTGTTGATGTTAATTGTCACTGGATACTCTTAGTTTTATGCTTAAAAAATTAGTATGTTACTTTCAAATTCCTGTTTTTGCAGAAAACGGAACTGAAATACTCACGCATCTGTATGGATGATGTGTCTCTTTTTCTTGGCCTTTTTAACCGGTTCTCCATCCTCATTGACGATGAAATTATCCATGTCTATTTTAAGAGATAGAACAGACTTATTAAACGGATGAAAACAGGATTTTCCACATTTTACTTGTTTTAGTTTCCTTTATTTTTTTACTTTTCTAATAATGTCTCGATAAAGTCACAGAATACACAAATAACAGACAGAAATTTAAAACTGTTGTTTGTTGTCAACATCGCTGATAATACTTTTAATGCTGTTCTAATAGAAAGGATACAGAAACTGGTTAATTGAAGAATTTCCACCAACAGTTTATAATTCAAAGAGTTCTGAATTTTATGGAGATATAACCTGCAGATGAAAAAGCTGACCTAGTAATGAACGAAAAAGTATATTCTGGAACTAAATAAAAAAAACTTACCATCTTCATCTTCAGATTCCTCTAAGTCTTGGTACTCTGTGGTTTCTGGGCGCTCAGAAGCTTCCTCCATTTCCTCCCCTTCTTCTCCCTCGCCATGTTCGAACAGTTCCTCTGCAATAGCATTACGGTCTTTCTCTTCTTCTTTGTCACTCTCCTCATCATCTGACATCATCCGAATACGCTTTAGCTTTTTCGTCTGACAAAATGAAAACGAAATCTCAAACCTTTTTTCCATTTATAGCAATGAATCTTTTTTTTAAACTTATGAGATGTTAAAATGATTATTGTTCTATTACATAATGTTTTAGAAATCCTCAATTTACAACAATTTTCCAAGGCTAACTTTTGTATGTTATATATTGCTGTTTTAATAATACTGTCCATAAAAACTAGCTATAGAGTGTACCTTTTTAATACGGATTCCCAAGTTTTCTTGAATGAGGTCAAGATCATCATCGTCCAGCTGGTCATCAATTTCAGAGTCGTCCTCATGTTTCCTCTTTCCACTTTCACTTTCATCGCCACTTTCGTCTTCTTCTTCAATTTCATCATTAATCAGATCTTTCATTTCCTCTCGTATTCTTTCCTCGTCTGAAGCAAATAGTTTCAGAATATTTCGGAGCCTAAAAAACATCTTTACATAGATTTATTTGGTTTACGAAATCTCCTTAGCATTAACAGGGTGTAAAATTTCATATTTAAAGAGTGATAGACCAGAAATAATTAAACAAGTCTGACCTACACCTTAATAGTAAATATGGACAACTTTTACCAGCCAAATTTAGAAACCATGGGCAACGGATGGGTAGAATATCAAATCTCTGAAGGGAGACTGAAAAATCAACAACAACAACAATTAATTTTGCAGGTAATTAAGAAAAATTAATAGGGGATGTAAAAATTCCAAAGTCTGTTACCAATTCCAAAACAACTACCAGTATCTTTGGAGGCACAAAAGTTAGCACATGCCTTTCAAGACTCTATTCATAAATCTCAAATGGAAACTTATTTGAGATACTTTAAAAGCCTTACCATCTTCTTCTTCCTCATCTTCGTCATCATCGTCATCATCCTCAATTGCAATATGTTTGCTCTTTTTCTTTTTCAATTTCTTTACTTTCTTTTTCTTCTTTTTCTTTCGCTGTCCTATTTCTGAGCCAGAACCTGAACCAGATCCTGATCTTGACCTAGCTGGTGACCCTGATCCTGACCTAGCTGGTGACCCTGATCCTGACCTAGAGCCAGACCTTGACCTTGAGCCAGACCTTGACCTTGAGCCAGACCTTGACCTTGAGCCCGATCTTGACCTGGAGCCCGATCTAGACCTTGAGCCTGACCCAGATCTGGAGCCAGACCCAGACCTGGAGCCAGACCTAGATCTTGACCTGGATCTTGATCCTGATCCCGATCTTGATCCCGACCCAGACCTGGAGCCGGACCTGGACCTTGAACCTGATTTTGGCCTGGATCTTGCTCTCACTGATCCAGCTACTGACCCTCCACTACCACTTGCATTTCCATCTTCTGAACTAACATCTGAAACATCTGCTTCATCATCCAAAAACCCAGACATCTTGCATGGAAGATCTGTAAAAATTATATATATGTAAGAACTACAATTTAAATGTGTACTTTTGAGGCCTCCAATGAAAAGAGGTGACTTAAAATAATCTGGTAGAATAAAAATATACATAACTTGAACAATTTTAATTTTTTTTTAATTTTCAAAAGAGTTTTTTCAATACAATGACATTAATAATGGATCAGTAACCTACTTGTCACCAATCATATTTCATATCACCACTCATACCATACAAATTATGCAAAAAGAAATTTGTATCACTAAAGACTGCATATGGATAGGTATTATGTCATTTAATATCACACTTTATTGCTTTAAGGAAGAAGGAACTTTTATGCAGTTTTGATTTTGTCATTGCTACTCTCAATATATAGTAAAAACATAAATGAAATTCAATATGTACTGAATATTGTATATAATTGACACTTAAACTTATAAAAGCTGAATATATCCGTTATGGAATTTGTCATCAATAATAAGAATTAAGTTGAAGATTATGTTATTTGGAAATCATTGCATAAGGAGGGAAAAATAAATAAGTAAATAGCTATATAATTAAATAAATGTCTGGCGGTTCAACAAGTAAGTAGCCTATAGCATAACTTCAGTATGTGGCAGATTCAACCAGAAATCATTGGAAAAACACCCACAAAGATGAGGTATTTTATCAACTTTTTGATATAGCGAGTCACTACCTATCAATTTCTGAAAAGCAGCGATTCTTTGTATACAAATTAATGAATTTTCAAAATTTGAAAGTGACCAATATTGGAAAAATGAGATTATTTGAGTCATGAATCACACTGACAGGCTAATAAAACACTAAAATTGAATATCCCGCACAGCATATCTCTTCAACGGAAGACAAGAGCATGCATGATCTCGAATGGATTCAGAAAACAAATATCTTCAAGGAATTAATTGGGCATAACTTTTCGGCATTATGGCAAGAGACTTAAACGGTGTTTACACATTTAACATTTATAGAGGGCGGAGCTCTCCCTATAGGTAACACGTATGTAAGAAAAATAAAGATTATTCACAATACCTATGGAACTGAAAAACTTGTCTTAACATGGCCGCCAGTCGCACGCGCTGTAGTCTCCGCCATCTTGATCTCGAAACAAGTTCTCGTTTGCCGAATCTCGAACAAACGTTACATTTTTGTAAGATTTAAAACCTATATCTAACTATAGGATACTTAAATATTTGATACTTTCCGGTTAAAGATGTAAATTCTCTTCACATAACGTTACCGGCTACATTGCTCTAGTTATGAATGGTCGAAAAAGTATTGTATCGGCAGTGTAGTCTCGTTCAATCAGACGCTTGCGCAGACAACAAGAGTCTGATTGAATGAGACTATCACGTAGAGTTACGGTCCTTGCACTCCCTACGACAACTCTGGGTATAGATTGCAGTGGTATATATTTAGAAAACGGAATATCAACAAAACAACTTGCTGGTTGTCAACAAAAAGGGAGTTTAACACAGAGATGCAAAATGATAGGATAAAAAAGCATACAAGTATTTTCATAAGAATTTTTTAATTGATATTTTGCACGAAAAAAATAGAAGAAAAAAATTGAATCCATACTGTACTGTAACATTTTCATTTTTGATTACTATCTCACAGCTATTTTTTATTCATAAAAAAAAATCTGCTGTTTTACAAATCTGCACGATTTTTTTTTTTTTACAGTTTTATGTGCTGAACTGATTCAATTTCTAATTGAGGAAACAATACATTTTCTCTATTGCTAAAACTATACATAAAGCAGAGACATATAAAGCATATAGTCAGTAAGTTGCTGAAACAAATGTATTCATCCACAATATATATATGATATATAGATCTATTGACTCTCTTGGCTGCAATGATGGGTATTGAAAAATGACAAAAATTGTGATTTCGCATATGCTTCTTATTTTAATAGAAACTTCATATAAATTCAGTTTTTATAGCATTGAACAAATTAATTTTTACACATAAAAAGCACAAAAATTGTAAAATACTTTGCATAAATTATCTCTGGATGCAATATTTATAAATCATTGAAGTTAAGTTTGAAGTAATCCAAAGGGCTTATTTGTAAAGATATATATATATGTATATCTTTTCGTGGATATCAGATAACTATGCTATTATACATGATTAACAATATCCTTTCTAATATGTTTTATTTCAATGTCTTTGTAGAATATGGGCCGTGCCGTAAAACATATTAAGGCATGGCAATTGTTTTACACAATTTCGAATGTTCAAAACAAGTCATTCCTTCGCTTTATTCAAATTTCAGACATCACATGTGTCCGAAGGGAAGGCATTGAAAACACAGTTGTTTATTTACCCATTAGTCACAGTTTTCTGGTTAAATGAAAGTCTTATCTCAGAGGAATGGTGACATTGTTTCATCAAACTTCGATTTTTATTCAAACGCTCTACAGAATATCTGTCATTAAGATATATTGTGAAAAAGTAAATATTACCTCTCTTTCCATAAACAAGATGGCTGAAGTTGAGTAGGTGCTTTTTCTATCGAGCTCTTTGATTGGCTGATTGGTACATTTCCGAGAAGGGAGAACACTCTATTGATGTTTCACAATAAAAACAAAATGCAACAACTTCGGTCTAAGCAAAACCTTCTCCTAGCAAATTTAAGAACAAAGAAGATACTTTGAAGTGTCACAGCTATAACATCGACGGAGACATACACAAGAACAATTGATAATCAAAATAATGCGGAACCCGAATCATCCTACGTTGCTCCGTTCGCTAGAGCTAAAATTGGAAACTTTTTTCAAGAGAGGCCGTCGCTTGGAAATCATTATGAAGAAGATCCAACACTTAAATCATATTTAAAACGTCATATTCCTCCGGACGTAAGACTGACAACGCATGATATTAAAATATGTTATTGATATCATTTTATTACAACCCGTTTAGGCATCTGTGATGTGTGTATGTTAACTTAATGATGAGTTCTTGTCATGTGGATTAACATAGATTCAGAACAGCAGAATGCAGATAAATGCTGGACTTTGAGATAATAAATCATTATTCTGTCTTGTCTATAGAGACCACCTGTTTATAGTGATCTTTTTGTTACTGGTCTCAAGTGGCTACTTCAGGCAGGATTGACTATCATGTATAAAATGAAAAAGTTATTTTCATCTTTCATCAGCATTTTATGATGTGGTTTATTTAGTTTCAAATGTTATACCGGATAGAACAATTTGACAAATATGTTTTATTTATTTATTTGAGAGTCATGTATAGAGGACTTTGATAGTCCTGAACCAGAAATAAACTTAAATTCCATAATACCTGAAATGATAAACAATATATGTGTATATATATACAGTATATGTAACAGGAAAAAGAATTGTGTTCCAACGAGGATCAAACCCTCGATCTCCAGGTTCCATTAAGTCGGACGCTCTACCACTGAGGTAAAGGGAAATTCCCTCTAGCTCGAAGCTAGAAGGCGACCGTAATCCTATGTACAATTAAAATCTGCCACATATATATATATAGATCTAGAGGATATTTCATGGTTACCTGTTTAACACTATAATACATTTCACAAGTATGGCAGAAAAGCATGAGTGAAAATGTCAATATATCCTGCAATACAAGTGAAAAATAAATGATATTCAGCAGGAACACCATTAAAGTTTCAAAAATGTGCGAGAATTAGTGGTGAAATATTTGATGCCAATGTTCTAATGATGTTGTGTTTGACAACAAGGTGTGTTCGCCTTTTGAATTGGCTACTCTTAGGTGATTCTCCTATTTTCAGGTAGGTTTTGCTTAATAAATATGATCCTTTACGTAGGTATATAAATAGCTTAGTGTATGTGTGAAATTATGCCCCAAAACAAATAATCTGTGAATAGAAAATACCATTTTGGTTGGTCAAATGTGAAGATATAACATTTTGTTTATCTACACTGCAGTGAAGATTTCAGTTTTTATCACTGATAATTTCTGACATTTCATTGTATTTATCCCCTCCCGATGAGTTTGAGGGGCTATTCCGTCTTTGCGTATTGCAGGGTTATCTTCTCTTGGGAGCAGGTATTGATTGTTACGTCATTGGTTTGTGTGAGAAAATTACGTCGTTTTCTCAAAAATTGATGACGTTACTCTCACAAACAAGTGACGTAACATTCAATACCTGCTCCCAAGAGAAGATAACTCTGCACTACGCAAAGACGGAATAGGATTCCACCCGTATGTAGGTAGGTATGTACCAATGAACGTATGTACATACACACATACGTATATTAACTCTTTGCCAACGCTTTAGCGACTTTATTCCTCAACAGAATTTCATGAAACTTGATACAAGCTAGTGTTTAGTATGACAATACCTTAAACAAGTTTGCATTTCGGGTTTCTACATTGAAGGTTAAGGTCACTGTTACTATTTTTAGCTCACCTGGCCCAAAGGTTATTTTTAGATGTGACATTCAAACACTTTTTCAGATTTTTGCCTCTAAAGTGGAACCTGACTTGCACAACTTTGGTCAGAGAGTAACGGAAGAGATTGCTGACCTTGGTCAACAATGTGACACAGAGTTGCCATATGTGGAACACTTTGACCCCTGGGGTCAAAGGATTGACCGACTGGTCACATGTCCAGCATGGAAGAAGATGCACGACATCTCAGCAGAAGAAGGCATTATTTCTATTGCATACAACAGGGAAGTTGGGGAACACAGGTAGGTCACAATATAATGTCTTGTATTTCCGGTCACCAATTGTGTTCTCCCCACGAATATTTGATGTGCCGTGAACCAATTTTCTTCATGTTCATTATAGTTATGAATTAAGTGATCAAGGTAAAAGACGAAAGTAGAGAGCTGTTCTGAAAATTTGATAAGTTTTTCATTTCTTATTGTTACAATATAATTATGCTTTTCTCACGATTCTGGACTTTCTTAGTTTAAGAAAAAACTCAAAGGATCCCACCTGCCATATTATATTCATTTTAAACACATGTATTTATATATATCTCGGAGATACTTCAAGACTAGTTATCCATGATAGATATATTTCTTCGGGCCGCGGTGGCCAAGTGGTTAAGGCGTCTGACGTCCTGCTACCACTAGCCCTCCACCACTGGGTCGCGGGTTCGAGACCTACGCGGGGCAGTTGCCAGGTACTGGCCGTTGGTCGGTGGTTTTTCTCCTGGAACACTTCCACTAGCCATCCACCACTGGGTCGTGGGTTCGAGACCTACGTGGGGCAGTTGCCAGGTACTGGCCGTTGGTTGGTGTTTTTTCTCCGGGGAACTCCGGCTTTCCTCCACCACCAAAACCTGGCACGTCCTTAATTGACCATAGCTGTTAATAGGACATAAAACACAAACAAACAAACAAATACATATATTTCCTGTTGATAAATATTATGGCAATACTGAATATTATTAAACTATGGTGAAGATGTTTTTTTCACCCTGTGTTAAAGATGAGATTTTTATGATACTATGTTCATTATAATATACACTTATCATTTAAATTATCAATATATATTTCTAACCTTTGGTTGTAGTTCAACAGTTTTTAGCTCACATGGTCCGATGGACCAAGGTGAGCTTATGCCATACCGCAGCGTCCTGCGTCCGTCGTTCGTCAACTTTACACTACTAGTCATGAACCACTGAGCGAATTTTAACAAAATTTGGTGTGGAGCATCCTTGGGTGAAGAAGAACCAATTTTGTATAAATGGTGGGTCTGGCCCCCCTGGGGGCTGAGGGGACGGGCCCAATAGGGGAAATGTAGCAAATTCTTTAAAATCCTTATTCTGTAGGAATAGAAGGATTTGTTCCATATTTGGTCTGAAGCATCCTTGGGTGAAAGGGAACCAATTTTGTATAAACCGTGGATCTGGCCCCCCAGGTGCCTGAGGGGCGGGGCCCAATAGGGGAAACATAGCAAATTATTCTTTAAAATCCTTCTGCTTCTGTAGGAATGAAAGGATTTGATCCATATTTGGTCAGAAGCATCCTTGGGGGAAGGGGAACAAATTTTGTATAAATGGTGGGTCTGGCCCCCCTGGGGGCTGAGGGGCGGGGCCCTATAGGGGAAATATAGCAAATTCTTTAAAATCCTTCTTCTTCTGTAGGAATGAAAGGATTTGTTCCATATTTGGTGTTGAGCATCCTTGGGTAGTGGGGAACCAATTTTGTATAAACCATGGGTCTAGCTCCCCAGGGGCCTGATTGGCGGAGCCCAATAGGGGAAACAGCAAATTATTCTTTAAAATCCTTCTTCTTCTGTAGGAATGAAAGGATTCGGTCCATATTTGGTGTGGAGCATCCTGGGGTGAAGGGGAACCAATTTTGTATAAACGGTGGGTGTGGCCCCCCTGGGACCTGAGGGGTGGGGCCCAATAGGGGGAATAGACCTAAATCTTCAAAATCCTTCTTCTTCGGAAGGAATGACAGGATTTGGTCCATATTTGGTCTAAAGCATTCTTGGGTGAAGGGGAACCAATTTTGTATAAACGGTGTGTCTGACCCCCCCTGTAGGCAGAGAGGCGGGGCCCAATAGGGAAAATAGAGGTAAAACCTTTAAAATCCTTCTCCTACCATAGGGATTAAGGGATTTTATCCTAATTTAGTCCGGAGCATCCTTGGGCCAAGGGGACTCAATTTTGTATTAGCAGTAGGTGGGGTCTCCGAGGGGGGCAGAAGGGCGGGGCCCAATAGGAGAAATAGAGGTAAAACCTTTAGAATCCTTCTCCGACCATCGGGATCAAGGGATTTTATCCTTATTTAGTGTGGAGCATCCTTGGGTGACGGTGACTCAATTTTGTATAATTGGTGGGTATGACCCCCGTAGGGCCATAGGGGTGGAGCTCTGTTTGAAGTTTTTTCTCTATATCTCAAGTACTGGATGGATCTTTCTGAAATTTCATATGTACTTACAGCACCTACCATAGAGTGCTATATCTTTACTTCATACCAATTACTTTAATTATATTCAGGTGAGCGATACAGGCCCTCTGGGCCTCTTGTACTTTAACCAATTAGCAATTTTATTAAAGATTCTTTAGGTTAATAACACAATGACATTAATTTTATCAATTTAAGCAAGTAGATAATCATCGAATTGAAAAATTGAAAAATTTTCAAAAAACCAATGACATGTAAAAATAGACCTTTTGGGGTCGTTAGAATAATTCACTATTGTGCTCATAGAATTTATTTGATTTGATATATAGATATATTTGTCCAACTGGCAAATGAAGCTATTATTAGGACGAGTGCATGTCAAAGATAGCCTACTTTCATAATATAAAGTGATAAAAAAGGTGGTTTAGGTAAACATGATATTCCCAAATGTGATATAAAGCAATGTGACAATAAGTAACATCCACTATAGAAGGATTTTTTTAAACAATTAAATAGATAATTTAAGATATGTAATGAAGTACGTGTATTGCATGGCTTTGTTGACAGTCGTCTCCACCAGATGGCGAAAGTGTACCTGTTTGCCTCATTTTCGGGTTTATACTCATGCCCCATAGCTATGACGGATGGGGCTGCTAAAATTATAGAGGTAAGATGTTGGAATATATACTACTGACAAAAAAGATGTAAACAGGATTTTTTCCGCCATTGATTTTCGCTGCATTTTGCCCACCTGCTCAACACATTTTATTTGGTTTGGTTTGGTTTGGTTTGGTTTGTTTGTGAACATTTTTGTTCTTTATCATCTGGATTAATCAATTCTGTTTTCATATTTTTCACCTCCATCATATTAAAATATTACCACATACCTATTCTTAACAGACATTATTCAAGTATTTTTTTATAAAGAATTTTCGATGTGGAATAGAAATAAGAAATAGAAAGTCTTTGAAATAAAAAATCTGCAAAGTTCTATGAATTTGAATCAAATGAGGATTTATAATGGCAGTTCAAATTTTGGTACATTTGTATAATGCAAAAATATGGATTCCTTTTTTTCTACCGTAAACCGCTGGGGTTCGTTACAAAAGTACAATGCTCAGGTGTGCTGTGACCCATATCAGTATAGCCTAATGTATATTGTAACATATACCTCCCCATGTGTGATTTATCTTACTGTATAGTCTATTATTATTTGACACACACACAAAAGAAAAATAATAACATTTAATTTAAATTTATAAGAAAATCAAAAAGTTTAAAAAATCAAAACTTAAAAAGATATTAATAAGCAATTTGAATATCTTTAACACGACAAATATCAATGGCAAAGGACGATACTGTACAGCAATAGATAATAGGGGCCATATAAAAAGTATCCTTGTTCCAATGTTTTATTATAATCGAACACAGTTTGGGTATTCAAGTTAAAGTATGTAAATGATGTTAAATGGTTTCTCGATTGAATACCATATATATGTTGTGAGTAGGGCAAGATATAGGTGGGTTGGACTGGACGGGTGGGGCAGTGAATAGCACTCTCACCTTTCACCAAGACGACCAGGATTTGATTCTTCTATCGTATATGAAAAGTTACTGGGTCACCTGCTGACCATATGGGTTTTCTCCGGTTACCCTGGATTCCTCCCACATAAAGACTATCATCACAAGAGTGATTAATATAAAGTTAAAAAAACTTGCTTCACAATCGTTGTAAAAGAAGTAAAGTTTATATTGTTTACACCCTTTTTTCACGAGTGTAACATATTTGGAATTGAAAAAATAGACAAGTTCCCTTGCACTCATAAAAAATATTGATATTCTGCCATAATCTTAAACCTGAAGAGCCCTGTGAAGGGTGAAAGCAGCTAGTTTTTAGTCGGTCGTTAAATCTTATTTTTTCTATATTTACTTACTTCACATGGACATTTAATCCTTTTTATCATATATATGGAATTCAATGGAAAACTGTTAAATATCTTCTATATACCTTGTCTGTTAGTTTGTAACATTGATTTCACTCAAGTTGTATCTTGTTGTTTTGTTATCACGGAAACTGTTTTTTCCACTGTATTATTTACTAAAATACCAATGATTGATATCAAGTGTTTGAAGTATTGAAATATGATCATTTACAATACAGCCAGATGGCAGACAGGGTTAGTGACTTATAGTGGTCCATTTTTAAATTTATACTGCAAAATTAATATACTCCTATTTTCTAGATATAGCCATGCAAGGGGAGATAATTAGATAATCCTTGTTCAAATCAATATTACTGAGGAATTTTAGTTCATTTTTGACCTTCCTCTTGAACATAACCGATGAATATCTCTTACAAATCATTAATTAACAGTATGTAAGTTTATGTAACCTTTTGCTGTTGCTATGCAAAGGAAACATTTTGTACTCTTACACTACAGTGCTCAATTTATATGCTGGTGCCCCCTGGTGGTGACGACTGTCATTTAAAAAGAACTTGTAGGGGAAATTTTAGTTAATATGAAATCAATGTATCACGTTACATTATGAACCCAGTCAGTAAAAAAATAAAATGATGACTTTGTTAATTTAAGGATGTATGCTACTTTATCATGAAATGCTGCTTATTTCCAAAAGTGTTCCATGCCTGGGAATATAAAACATTCTATTTGTGAATCGTAAATTAGAATTGATTAAATAACTGTTGATGTTTTTGAATGTACACAAGATTTGATGTGTTGATAGATTTGAGAATTTGAGAATTACAAGATGATGCAAATTAAAAAAAGGTTTTAAAGGGAAATAACTCTCATAAAAATCACAGGTTAAATATATCAGGTAACATTTGTTGTTAAGAAAGGGTTGTAGCTGAGTTAACTGGATCGGAAGTAATAAGTCAGCTCATTAAGAGTGTTACTGTCCGTCTAGAGTTGGGAGGATATGGGTTCAAATCCTGGTCTGGTCTCTGCTTTTTGTGCACTCTCGATTCACTGCAATATGTGAACAATTGTTGAAAATAAATAGTGCACATTATTATACTGTTTTCGTTGACAGTCGTCTCCACCAGATGGCGAAGGCGTACCTCATGTTTGCGGCGTCTGGCCTGTATTGGTGTCCTCTTGCCATGACTGATGGCGCCACCTATATTGTGGAGGTATCACAAAGAAAGAACACTAACTCTAGCATAATTCCTACTTTTGTCCAAAACTGAACATTTCATTAGTGCCCCACCGATACAACGAGAGAAGGCTATATAGCTATAGGTTTACAATCCATCTGCCAGTCTTTAGTCTGATCAGCAGACAAACTCATTTTCCAAAACAAATTAACATGCAATATTGGTTCAGTAAGAGTAACAGCCTTAAATTTGCATAAGCCATGGGTAACCCCACCCACCTCTACCATTGATGACGTCACACAGTTGTGTCTCATTTGCAGAAAATATGCATAGCTCCGCCCTCATGTACTGTTGTTGACGTCATGGAGGCTTGTCACATTCTTTGGTCAGGTTATGAGATGATAACTGTTTTATGGGAACAATGGTTATAGAGTGAATGTCAGTTTAGACTGTTAATATTTAATGACACAAATAAATATTTACATTATCTTTATAGCACATTTTCTACCTGGAATACCCATTCTAAGATACTAAACAGCACACAATGCAATTTTTGAAAAATTCGCAGCAGCTTCCTAAAAAAGAATATACTGCAAACCCTATGCCACCTGGCTAATATCTCCACGGGTGTGCATGTGTGGGTGTTAGAGATAACTGCAGGCCCTATACCAACTGGCTAATATCTCCACGCGTGTGCATGTGTGGGTGTTGGAGATGAATTTTTGTTCTGTTTTATGATGAGACAAAGATTTTTTTTCATAATACCACCTCATTTAAAGCTACAGCACAGACAATGCAGCACCCACTCCGTCCCATTTGTACTCCACTTGGATTGTTGGAGTGGTGTGGCCAAGAGAATAACACTCTGTATATTTAATACCAGAACAACATAGGGGGTTAAACCCTGGCTGTCTGTGTGGAAGGGTGGAGTGTTGAGCAGTCCATCCAATCTGCTCATACTATCACTTATTTTATTTTTCAAAACTTTAAAACAGATAGAAAGAAAAAAATTCTTAATGATGGAAACCTCCAGATGAAATTTGTATTAGAAAGGTCAAAACAGAATTCTGAGGAAGGTTATAGCGGCATGTAGCACTTCCTCAACTGTGTTGGAATGATCTTATAACTGTATTCCTTGTTTGATTTTTTGTGTTTACTGAAACCTTTGAATTGCTAAAACTAAAATACTTAGCTTGCGACAACTTGTTTTAAGCTAGTTTCACTCTTTGCAAGCCATGTGCAAGCTGTAGTAGAAAGTTCACACAAGTTTGCTAAGGACCTGCTTCATATACATATATTTATCCACAAGCTTGCACTTTCTGAAAGTTTGCAAGTTTTTTTGCAAGCTAGCGAGTCCTTCTGGAAGCAATGCAAACTTGTGAACTTGCAATTTTTGCTAATTACAGTAAAACCCCGTTGTAATGCCACCCGTTAAACCGTCAAACCCACATACTGCATTAATTATTGAGGAAGGATTCCCCCAGCGTAAATGCACCCGTTTTAACGCCAAACCTGCTTACCGCCATCAGCCATCATATTCCCAAAACAAATGGTTAAAATCAGACTATTTTGATCTCGAGAAGGTATATCAGGATGACAGGGATGTAACGTATGTGTGAACATTGTACTGTTATACATGTTATACATGACTGCCAACTAAACATGTAATCAGCTGTATGTTTTGATAAATTAAATAACAATTTTGAAAAAAACAACATATTTTGAAGTTTATTATTATTTCTTTAAAGTATAAGTTCAGTTGGTGTTTTCTGACTTGCTGTTAGTTAGAAATAACTGACTATCCCTTTTAGATTATTTTTGATTGGACAAAGAATCTTCTGAATATTTATATAGATATAAATGCTGAATACTAGCACCCTAAATGAAGATGATTCTGCTCCAGAATTTGGCTCCAAAGTATCCGTGGTTGAAAGAGAGGGCGTTCAGACATTTGACCAGTCGAGAGCCCGGTCATTTCTGGACCTCTGGACAATGGATGACCGAGAGAAAGGGTGGATCAGATGTAGGTAGGTAAAAAGAATTAATTAATTGACAAATAAATAAAAGGCTGAATTTATTAACTATTGGCAAAATCAGGCATGAATGATTGGGCAAGTGAATTAACAGCTGAACTGGCATATGAATGAATGGCTGAATTTATGACATGAATGAAATACAGAATTTGACGAATGATTTCATGACTTAATTTGCAAAGGAATAAATTATCAACAAATTACTGTAATGAATTTACATATATACCTGGTATGACTTGAATTGATATATATTACATTAATACATATTAATGTATGACTGATTTAATGAATGAATTACTGTCAAATAAACTAATAATATTTAGTTGCAAAATTGGTTAATAATTGAGTTTCTATGCAGCTAATGGTACAGAAACGGTTGCCATACCACAAGACGATGGGAGTTTCCGACTCCATGGATACAAGTGGTTCTCCTCGGCAACCGATGCTGACATCACATTCACATTGGCCAGAGTTGTCGGAAAGGATGGACAAACTACAACGGTAGCTAATGATTGGTCAAAATTCTAAAGATGTACTATGGCAAAATATTATGTAACAGTTTTTAGCTCACCTGGCCCAAAGGGCCATGTGAGCTTATGCCGTACTGCGTGTCCGGGAGGATGTAGGGTCATGATATTTGGCCAGTAGGTACCTGAGATGGAGTGCTATAAAGTTTCCTCACCTCATTTAAATGACCTTGACCTACTTTCAGGGTCACTAGGGTCAAATATGTTAAAAAATTCAAACAACAATATCCTAAGAACCATTTGGACTAGAGTCATGATACTTGGGTATGTTATGGAGACCAGAAGTGCAATTACTTTTCTCAATTACAGTAATGAGGTCAAAGGTCAACTTTAAGTGCTAGTCAGGGGTCAAATGTCAACATGTGTTAAAAGCTTTAACAATCTTCTTCTCAAGTTCCATAAGGCCCAGGGTCATGATTTTTGGCCAGTAAGTACCTGGGATGGAGTGCTATAAAGTTTCCTCATTAAAATGACCTTGACCTACTCTCAAGGTCACAGAGGTCAAATATGTTTAAAATTTCAAACAAATATATTCCAAGAACCATTTGGACTAGAGTCATGATACTTGAGTATGTTATGTAGACCAGCAGTGCGAAATATTTTTCTCAGTAATGAGGTCAAAGGTCAACTTTAAGTGCAAGTCATTGGTCAAAGGTCAATGTGGGTTAAAAGCTTCAAAATTAAAATTTGAAATTTCAATCAATAATATCTTCAGAACCGTTAAAATGTCTTGTGTTCTTAACTTAACTTCTTAACCTATATGTCAGTTTCATGTAACAAAAGAAACAGGTGAACGATACAGGCCCTCTGGGCGTCTTGTTCATTGCTGTTTTCCCTTTGGTATATGAATTTCAGTAACATGTCTGAAACCAGCCCTACAAATAACTCATAACCAGATGTTTGACCGATAGGAGATCGAGAAAACTTTCATTGAGACAAGTGATATTATACAGTGTATAACTTATCTAAAGCAAAACCTGCCGAACCCAGAAACCTGTATAAACAGGACCTTTCAATAGATATCTTAGAAATTTAAAAATCTTTTGATATATACACACATTATACACCCTTGGAGTTTCTCCTGACAAAATCATAGGCTTAAGGTTAAACCATTTGACAAGTTCCCAACATCACAAACAGATTAATCACAGGGCTGATAGGCAGTGGGTACCTGTACTTTGAAGATTATCAAAGACCTACTCTGAGATCAAAGCCGGTACAGTTTACTCAGATGCTGACAATTCATTTTCATCTGCAATCAAAGCCTCATTCTCAGGTTGGCAGGAATCTGTCACAGTTTCCCACTAGTCAACATGTAATACCCCCATGACGGTGTGTATAAGGACTATTGATTTTGTCTGACGAAAATCCAGGGGTGCAGTGTGATATCGCTAGCGGAACCCGTGTATTTTGTCTTTTAAGTAAAGTGGATCAGTGAAATAAAAGTTTGTACTATTTTTTATTTTTTTTCCAGGGAACTCGTGGATTGTCGTTATTCTACTTAGAGGTCCACAATTCTGACGGAAGTCTCAACAACATACAGATTCAGAAACTGAAAAACAAGCTCGGGACCAAACAAGTTCCTACGGCTGAACTTCTGCTGGACGGAACTATTGCCCATAAGGTGAGTGGACCTGGCACTAGGTGTTAGTTTACATACATATAAAGTGTTAACGTGATTAAGTTCCCACTGCTGGGCTTCTTCTAGATGCAGCTAGCTGTTGTTGAGCTATAAAAAAGCCAAAGGGTCAAAGTTAAACTACAGCTATAAAGGGCCGGTTTCCAAAACGGCCCCTTCTCTGATTCAAATTTCCTGTTGGTGGTGCATTGCCCATGCCGTTGTGGTCACAAATCTATAAAGTATAAAGATTTAGGTCACTTGGTTTGTTTTTTATGGCTCCTCAAAGTTGTACCTTTCAGAAGCTGTCTAAGTGTTGATAAAATGTGCATGTTATGTAAAATATTAATGAAAATCTAATCAAATGATGGTCACCGTAAAGAATACATTCATGGCATGATTGTGACAAAAAATCATGTTTCCATCGCGCCATTTGGCTGTTTTATGGAAGAAACAATCTCAAAAATGCCATTTTCGATGATAACATTTTAGACACAAAAACTGTGTTTTTTAGAGAATACACCCTTTTATGGGCGTTGGATGCAAACCAATTTTTATCCTATTAAACAGTACGTAATATGCTATTGATGAGAGGAAAAATCATCAAAATGTAAGTGGTGGAACATTTTCAAATGTTGGGTTGAATTAGCCTATGGTTGAATTGCCGATTTTCGACTTTCTTTAGATAATTAACAAAAAAACGAGAGTATTTGCTCGGTATGTTGAGAATATGTACACAGATATGAAAAAAAGTGAGAGAAACACTTTTTCATAAAAAAAATCCAAGATGGCTACTTCACAAGTCCCCGTGGTTGAAGACATTGGCTGACAAATAGACAGAACAACAAACAAAACGTGTTCCTTATGATTTTGGTTGGTTTTCGCATTTACGGGAGTGTTCATAGCTACGGGCGATTGTATAATACCTATATTTATAAGTTTGGTTAGTCACATGGTAACGGGGATCTTTCATATCGAGCCCCAAACATACTTTCGACATATGCACTCCGTTGCCGCATGGAAAACTATTTCAAGTTTTGTCGGAATTTCTTTACCTGTGGTTGTAATGGTCGAGGGTTTTCCAGCGTCCTGTAATACCCAAGGTAGTACAAGATACTGGAGATGTGCGCACACATTCCCATCGTTCTCTCTCCAACTGGGCACTGGCAGTAGTAGTCCTTTATTGGGGCCTCAACATCGGGTGAAACGGTGAACCGTATCCAAACGTTATATTTCGTTTGGCTTTTGTGTCGAGAATGTATTTGACATCGGAGAAGGTCTGGGGAGTGCTGGTAAAGCCACACCTCATAGTCTCCGTCATCACTTAAATGTTCGGCGATGTAACCAGGAGCCAGAGATATCTGATACGTTCCACACGTAATGGTTCTCAAGTAATCAAGATCGAGACGGGGAAACAGTACGGAAGATGCATCCATCTTGACAAACTCGGACCTTGCCCGTCTAGATAGATCCGGATCTGTCTTGACTCTCTGAGCTAAACCATTCGGTGTTGTCAAACGGTCCTTCATACGTTCAGCCATTAGCCTATCTTTGGCATCTCTCTCTGGAGATCTCTGGTAGATCGGTCCTCTAATACCATTCAGACAGGCTGTGACGGTTCGAAGCAAAGCCTCGATGACATTGATAAAGCTGTTAGACACCAATTGCGTTCGGAAGAACGTCCAGTGTTTCAGACGACCATGATAGGATTCCACAATCCACCTCGATTTGGTGATAGTTCTGTCAAGATTTGCTTGGACGTCAGAATGTTGACTTTGACCGGGTTTCAGGTATGACGGCATGCTAGCATTGAGGCCAGAGGCTTCGAGAACTGGTAGGACATCTCTAAAACCTCGGTCAACGACAACGTTGTCGTCTGGTTGTAGCCAAGTAACTAGCTTGTCCATGACTTTTTTTGTAATTGTAGCATCATTTTCGCTGCCAGTGAATGGTCCTACTGTGTCCAGAATGTAGCCATCTGGTAAGGCGATGCTCATGAATTTGAGATAGTTTCTCTTCTTCTGGCCACAGTAGGACATTCTCTGGAGCTTGTGGTCGGAGCTTTTCTGGATATAAATATAGGTGCCATCTAATATGGCAGTGGCTTTATCTCCAAAAAATGCTTCTGAAAAGACAGTATTGTGCCCGAGCAACTGTTCTCTTGTCAAGTGATCCGGACCTAGAAATTGTGGGACTATCGATGTGTCTAATGCCTGTACTATGGAGTGGAAAGTTTTGGACACACTTGACTTGGAAATTCCAAAAAGAGAAGAACACTGACTCCAGGAAATGTCGGTTTTCAGTTTTACCCAGAACAGTAATAGAGCATCGTGTGTAGTCTTGGTATATATACCAGATGAAAGATATGGGGAACAGTGCGAGTGGATTTCGAGGAACTGATCTTTGGACCAACCTGTCCAGGCCATGCATGCCGAGTCATCAAGAGAAGAAAAGCTTATTGTAAACGCAGACTGGTTCTGTGAAAGGACGTGCGACACCTCTAGGAGGTCATTAATGATTTCGGACGATTTTGATGGTAACTGAGATTCCAAGGAACCTCTACCATCAAGGACAACCTCTGTAGACGGATCTAAGTCGTTACCAATAAGGTGAATGGAGCAGACGCGGGATGAGGTGGGACACCACAGTTTGTGTGAATAGATCAGGTGATGTCTTGCACGTTTTGGTAAGACTGATGATTTTGTTCCATTTCTTGCAAAGGTAACAAGACAGAGACAGCATTTTTTGTGTGAAGATGATCCATTCAAAAGATCATGAAGGGTCAGCAACGGCAGGATATGGGACGGGGAGTCGTCTTCTTCCTCTATTTCCTGGTTCTGCTCGGGTTCAGGTTCAGGCTGATTTTTGTTCCGAAGATACTTCATGTAGCACTTCTGGCAAATAAGTGCTTGTTCCTTTGCTGACATCAATCCTTGTTGCACCAGCGTATCTAGGAGCCATTTATATTGTGGACTATTTACATTGCGTGCACTTCTGTTCTTATTGCCACTACGTTTCTTGAAGTATACTTGACACCCTTCTCCAACACATTTACCCTCCATCTTGAAACAATAACGATTGGTTTATGAAGCGTCGATAAAGTAACAAAATAGCAAGCCACCGATGATTGCTGTAAACAGCTAATACTTAGTAGTTTGGTACAATTATGCGAAAATGTGTGATAAATAACGAACAACTAATTACACAAAATAACAAGACAATATAATAAATCACATTCAATACCTCCAAGAAGCGCAGAATTGATTGATTACTTAGAACAAAATAAAGTATTTCATATGGATAATCTATCTATTCGATGTGGCGTGGTCGGCAGGCACAAAGAAAGTGAGACAAGTCAGGGTCCCAACCCTGACAGAGCCACAACGCTTTGGAGATGGGACAATAAAACAAGGAAAGTGAGACAAGAATAGCTAGCGTCGAGTCAATGATTCCGTAAACGTATAGACAAAGACAAGAAGATACGGATAAATGTACAAGGCCACACGATCAGAAAATTCAGAAGAGGACAACTTGAGATAGAACAGTATTCATGTATCAGGGTGTCCTCAGTGTAAATCTTTATATCGATACTGTTTATTTAGTCGTTACACATCATAAAACTGTCATGAAAATATCCGCTCTGATATTCAATATAAAAGTTTGTATATAATAAGCTATATAATAGGGTTTCAGACAAGGTTGTTACTCATTTCCCCTTTTCTTTCAATTTACAACCACATTCAGGCGGCGATATGAGAACGTTCCACCACATGGAATTAGCTGATTTTTGGTACACATATGAAACAAGTAAAGCTCTATCCGATTTTCTGATGGAAATTTGCATCCAAAACTATATAACGGGAGAAAATTGCAATTTTATGGCATTTTTCTTCATAATTGTGTCTCTGCAAGTGCATTTTCATCCGAGAATATTTTTTTTTTTGTTTTATGAATAAACACGATGTTTTGGAAATATTTATCAAAAGAAATTTATACTATGTTGCGAATTACAATTTCGAGATAACCTTCTTTTATTTACGAACTTATGTCTTTGATGCTGAAATTGACAACTTTATAAAAATACATTTTCACTGAAATTATGAAATCTGGGTGTCGGAAAGGTGTAAAATTATTCTTCGGAAAAGAAAAAAACAGTAGTTGAGCTAGATAAGAAATTATACGGGGGCAGGCTCCTATGGAGAATTAACATTACTGGAAACAGGCCCTTTGTCGAAAATTGTCTTTGAAAAGAAAATGTAATTGTTACAGTCTGATTGATAAATCATTTATGATATAGAATTCAGCAATAATTTATTTAAAAAAAATAATGAAAAAGGTTAAAACTTTGTAGCATCCTTTCTAATTTCCCGTTGATCTCCAACGTTTCATTATGCTAACAAGGTTGTTTGGCCCAAAATTAGATAAATTCTCACTGCCTGCAGTATTAAAGTGGTCTTTAGATGAAATGTCATGATCTTATTCTGACAACTGGCTTTACTTTTACTCACTTGCCACATTTTGGCTTAGTGAGTTTTTTTAAGTGGTTTAGAGTCGTAAGGTTTCTTATGTCTTTTGCACTCTTTACTTGACATAGGAAACAACCGTTTTCGAAAGCTCGCAAAGTTTTCAATTATTGTTTGTGTCCAAAACAATTTAGCCTTTAAACATTTGTAGGTTTCAGAAGGGCATAAAACACCAAATTTAACTAAAAAAACCAACAAAAATGTGTAAAAATATTTGACAGAATATATAATGTTAAAGTTGGGTTTGAGGGAGGGAGGTGTGGGTGGAGGGGTTGTTTTAGAAACCTTATGAATCACCCTTGGAGTACCTTGTAGTGATGAAATTTGATTCAATACTGACAGGTGTCGGAGGAAGGTCGCGGTGTGGCGTCCATTTCCAGTATGTTGACTTTGTCAAGGATACACAATGCTTTAGCATCAGCTTCAGCAATGAGAAGGTAGGTCAAGGTCAGTCAAGAAGGTCAGTCAAGGTCACAAGGTAACAAACAGTACATTACATATATCAGTGATAGATTCTTTTTCTTGTTATTTTCATGCTTTAAAAAATCCATGTTTTTGTCAAGAATTGCATACTTGTTTATTAAAATTCCATTTCTCTGTTATAATTTTTTTTTTTTGTTGAGTTGAAAAGGGATCTACATTTTAATTTCCTAAAAATGCCTTTATTTTAATAATAAACACGTTAGGGTTGAAAATCTGGATTCAACTTACTCAGAAAAGGAGATTTATATCAGTCACATGACTATTATATATTATGTTACAGAGTAGTCAGCACAGCTAGGGATTACAGCACCCGGCGGTCGGCTTTTGGAAATGTTTTGAAGAACTACCCTCTCCATATACAGACATTGGCAAGACTGGAGGTATTTTAAAGTCAAATCTTTAGCAACAACCTTGTTATAATGCCACCATTTGTGAAGTTATGGCATGATAATGGGGTTTGTTTATATATTGAATAGAGGGTTCTAATACCTTTCCTGTTTAGTTTTAACTCTTTATATATTTCCCCCTTTATATCAACTAACTTCATTTTAATGCCATAATTTTGGTATTACGGGTAAGCAATAAACTACACAACACCGTGATAGATATGAGAATTTAATTTACTAAAGATAACAAATTGCCATAAAATGAATTTTCCTGTAGTTTATGACTCTTCATTATTTAATTTGTTGCAAAAAGAGGATTTTCCATATAATTTGTATAAAGATTTCCCTGATGCTGGGGCCCTTTTGGCCAAGGGGTTAAGGTGTCAGACATTCTGCTACCACATGCCCTCCACCACTGGGTCATGGGTTCGAGACCTACGTGGGGCAGTCGCCAGGCACTGGCAGTAGGTCGTTTTTTTCTCCAGGTACTACAGTTTTCCTCCACCACCAAAACCCTGCACATCCTTAAATGACCATAGCTGGTAATAGGACTTGTTCACACCTTAAAAATTGGAAAAACATGAAGTGGGAAATATTTCATCTTATATGCCAGAGCTTTGATCAGATACTTAAACATAGAAGTGCAAGGATTTCTCTTTATGTGTGCCTAACAATTTCTGTTAAAAGTAAATATTTTCTTTTTTCCCTGAAAAGTGGTTCATGATTATTTGTAGGTTGAAGTTCGAGGTGCCACCCTACTTACTCTTGAAGCGGCCAGATTGTTGGGAAGGGAGGATGTTGGAAAAGCCACTGAGCATGAGCAGATGTTGCTTCGGCTGTTGACTCCTTTGGCCAAACTTTACACAGCAAAGCAGGTATTTATTGCATAAGTAAGAAGTTATTTTATTTACTTGACAAGGTTCTCTTTAAAGTACTTCATAGGAAGTTGATTCTGTGATGTTATTGTCATATGATAATATATAGTTTCAGCTGTTCATTATGAACCTTTTTTGGGAACTTTCTAGCCAGTTAAGGTTGTCAATACACTAGTTAAAATGTTTGTCACAAATTCTATTTTAACTACAAATCTTTGAGCAAATGGTGGAACATGTGGTCAGAATAGCTTGTTTAAACCATATTGTGGAACAAAAGTCAGAATTAATTCAGAACTTTGTTTTCATTATCTAAACAGAAACTGTTAGGTTTTTTTTGACATAAATAAATGAATAAAGCTGAACATTCTGATGGGAATCTGTTCCTTCAATAATTTTTATATTTTATACAAAAAATAGTAATATATGCAGTATCCAATTTTCCATTTTTAGCTCACCTGGCACGAAGTGCCAAGTGAGCTTATGCCGTGGCGCGGCGTCCGTCTTCCGTCCGTCCGTCCGTCCGTCCGCCCGTCCGTCGTCCGTCCTGCGTCCGGCGTCAATATTTTACTTTAAACGACTTCTTCTTAATAACCGAAAGGCCTAGGGTGTCAATATTTGGCCAGAAGCAAACTTGGATGAAGGGCTACAAAGTTTGTTCAAATAAATGACCTTCACCTATTTTCAAGGTCACAGGGGTCAAATATGTCAAAAACTTTAAACATCTTCTTCTCAATAACCAAAATGCCCAGGGAGATGATATTTGGCCAGTAGCATGCTTGGGTGAAGGGCTACCAAGTTTGTTCAAATGAATGACCTTCAATTATATTCAAGGTCACAGGGGTCAATTGTATTAAAAAACCTTTAAACAACTTCTTCTGAATAACCAAAATGCTCAGGGTGATGATATTTAGCCAGTAGCATGCTGAGATGAAGTGCTACAAAGTTTGTTCAAATGAATGACCTTCACCCATATTCAAGGTCACAGGGGTCAAATATGTTAAAAACTTT